TTTAAATGCAGAAGTCAAAATAACTTAAGAATGAAAACAAAACACAAAATTTTCCTCGTACTCACCTTCCTTCTCTGATCTCAATAGTCATGGATCTGGACACCACATCACTTGATGCCAAGTCTTTTGCTGTAGGTGCATACCTCTCCATGAACCTCTCTCCCTGTAGGAAGGACGCGATAATTGAGTTCGCCCACAAATTGCATACACCAATAGCTCAAAAAAAAAAAAAAAAATTGAAATCCAAACCGAGTGCATTGTGCAGTACCTCACTGTTGATGAGATAGCCGCCTTCTCCTCTGCTTCCCTCAGTAATCAGACAACCAGCGCCATAAATTCCTGTACAAAAATGAACATACTTATGATATACCGTATTTATTCCATTAAGCACCCAGCCTTGATTAAGCGCACCCCCACCCCTAAAAAGTACTTTTTAAGTGCCCAACCTCGAATAAGCGCCCACCCCTCCCCCTTCCAAAAAAAAAAAAAAATTAAATAAAGTGCAGAAGGGAAGTACGTGTATTGATTATTACCGTACGGTATTTTATTAATGGCTTACAATCGCTAGTTTCATTGTTCGATTTTTACATACTGAAAATGGTGAAAATTTAATAAGTGCCCAGCCTCGAATAAACGCCCACCCTGAAAGTCCAAAAATTTAATAAGTGCCCTGGGCGCTTAATCGAATAAGTACGGTGTATATTTAATCTTTTTGGTAGTGCTGCGTAATTATACACAATCCATTCTCAGAATCAATATGCTCTAATGCACTTTACAACACTTTGTGGGGAACTATTGGCAAGTCTGCATCAAACATTTTACAACTTTTGCAAAAAAATTTTGCAGGTGACGCCACCTTAGGAATTTTGGAAACAAGGCTAGACCACAACACAAGGAGCTACATTCTCTACCCTTTGCACAAACTGCATGGGTTCTTTAATGCTCCTTGCTATCCAGCACAGAGAAAAAGCAGGAGACAGGGTCTGCAGTTTTTCACCTTTATTGGAGAAGAATAAAATGTCCAGCCATTTGCAGATGTCAAAGCAAAAGCAGCACATTCTCTTCAAGTTATTGCAAGACCCTGACTGAGTATTGGTCTTTTTTACAATTTTCAAATGTAACAAGAAGGAGATGCCATAATTGAACTACAAAAAGTGTTCTAGACTTCAGAAAAAAAGGTTGTCTTGGTCATCATGTCGTGTTTTGGGCTAGACACTTTATTCTCAAAGTGGTTCTCCAACGAGGAGTTCAACACCATTGTAAAAAAAAAAAAAAAATACTCAAGAACCATTCTTAAATGCTGGGGATGAGTTACTAGCTAAATATGAGATACACATACCCAATTACATTTCCAAGGAGAACATTTACCAATAATTATTGTCATGATTGCTTCATGCTACAGAAATGGGAGAAGACTCTATCCACTTTTGTAAAAAAGAACTTTCCTTGTAAATACCTGTTGGATGAAACTGTACAAACTCCATGTCTTGGTTAGGAAGTCCTGCTCTTGCCACCATGGCCGTTCCATCTCCAGTACAGGTGTGTGCTGATGTACACGAGAAATAAGCACGTCCATACCCACTAAAGGAAACCAATAACAAATTAATAATAATAATAATAATAATAATAATAATAGCAATAATAATAATAACATACGTTAATTGAAGCTCCCCCTTAGGGGTTTCTCAGCCACAATGTAGACTAATTAAGAGCTTAAAAATCCCCACTGGCAGGAGGCAGACCAGTGGGCTATTTACGAAGCACAGCCGAGGAGTTGAACCAATAACAAATTAGCCAAATATCCCTAACACATAATATGTTAAACCTTTAACACCTATGAATGACCAAGACAGAAATTCTCCTTACAATATCAATACAAAATCTGGCTCAGAGGGGAGGAGAATAAAAGAAATATCAATTAGGCATTATTAGAAGATCCAGTGTAAAATTGTCTAAACTACATGTAACATCATAGGAAATTGTACTGCAGACAGTAAGGAGAATTCCTAATGATCATGGGAATGAAAGGGTTACAGAAACGGCTTTAGAAAACTTGGGTGCTTGCATGCATCCTTTTCAAAAAGTATACAAATAATAACAGTTATTGTTAAATAGTAAATAAATTGCATATATATACAGGATTGTGCAAAAGCAAAGCAAACAAAAATTGCAGAATTTTGTTTATTGTTCTTTTGTAGTTTCATCAAACTTTTCTGCAAAGATGAATAGTAATCAATGACATACCCAGTTGCTATCACTGTGTTCTTTGCCTTAAATCTGTGCAGCGACCCATCCTCAAGGCACAAGGCAATAACTCCAACACACTTTCCTTTGTCCATGAGGAGATCCAGTGCAAAATACTCCACAAAGTACTCTGTTTCATACCTCAAGGACTAGGAAAGAAAGAATAGCAAATAAATAAAAAAAAAATCATAGTAAAATAAAAAACTAAATCAAACTTCAAATTGTTCTCATAACTACCTTCAAAAGAAAGCCCCCACCCACCCATCCCCAACTAAAATACATTTTCTAAATAAACTGTTTACTGTATGGAGAGCCCACGGGGACTAAATAACGTGACCTTTGAGGAGATCCAGTGCAAAATACTCCACAAAGTACTCTGTTTCATACCTCAAGGACTAGGAAAGAAAGAATAGCAAATAAATAAAAAAAAAAAATCATAGTCAAATAAAAAACTAAATCAAACTTCAAATTGTTCTC